GGCCTTTGGGGAGGACAGTAAATTAATTTCTACTGATGAGTAAACAAGCCTCTGGAAGTAGAAAGGTAAAAGCATGAATTGCTTGGCCAACCACAACCACTTGGGGGCGCTGCAGGCTTCATGACTAAACCAAAGTCTGTCCCAGTAGCTCCCCCTTCCTTCAGAAATAAGCACTGCACACTAAGATAACGGACCCCTTTAATTAAAAGGCCCTTGGCCATCTCCAAGAGGATATACCTGCATGGAAGCCATACTGGTAGTATCTTGGTGAGGATTTTGCTGTGCTTTCAGGCAAAGCGCAACTGTAACACTGCTTTAAATAAATACAAATCATATATTTTTTCCTATTTTATTCAAGACTCACACAACTGCATGTGAGTGAATCCTTACATAGCATTCATTCAAGTGCGAAACCAAACTTTGGTGTGCTTTAAGATTTAACAATCATACAGTTAACTATACAAGTCTAGGCCGGAGTGGTGGCTCACACCTGTAATCCTAGCACTTTAGGAGGCCTAGGCGGAAGGATTGCTCAAGGTTAGAAGTTTGAGACCGGCCTGAGCAAGAGTGAGACCCCGTCTCTACTAAAAATAGAAAGAAATTAATTGGCAACTAAAAATATATAGAAAAAATTAGCCGGGCATGGGGGTGCATGTCTGTAGTCCCAGCTACCTGGGAGGCTGAGGCAGGAGGATCGCTTGAGCCCAGGAGTTTGAGGTTGCTGTGAGCTAGGCTGACGCCATGGCACTCTATCTGGGGCAACAAGAGACACTGTCTCAAGAAAAAAATAAACTATATAAGTCTAGCATCTCTGTCCTTTCATTAGACCGAGGACCCTTTGGTAGCAGAAACATTTCTCATTCATCACTGTGTCACTGTAATTCCTCACATGCTTGTATTTGTTAGGTGGAGCTTCTTCTAAATGTTCACTACGGGTTGTGTTACCCTCCTAGTTTTATTCTTGAGAAAATTACACAAAAGGTCATTTTCCTCTATACAAAATGAAAGAATGTTAGAACTCTGTCAAAACGATAAAGTGAAAAGAGCAAGGTGCAAGACAGACCGTACAGGTTAGTATGCTACCTTTTGGGTGAAGGGGAATATATATTAGTAGAGTAGTTCCTTATATATTCATAAAGTCTGAAAGTACATGCTAAGGACAAGGGGTGAGGAGACAGGGTGGATGGGAGATGAGGATGGAAGATTTTTCATTATAGTTTGAAGCTTTTAAATTTGAAATACATAAATATGACCTAAAGTTACATTAAAAATAGAATAGGCCAGGTCCAGTAGTGTACACCCATAGTCCAGCTATGCTGAGGTGGGAGGATCACTTGAACCCAGACAAGTGAGGTTGCAGTAAGCTATGATGGGCCAACTGCACTGTAGCCCAGGTGACAGAGGAAGACAATGTCTCAAAAAGAAAAGAAAAATATCCCCAGGACATTAACAAATACACTAGTCATGAATTATAAAATTAAGTGCTGATTAATTATCTCCAAGAAATTTATTAAAACAAATCATTCTATTTATGCTATCCTTTCAAAATCTTTAAGTTTTTGTATTTTTTTTTAATTGAGACAGAGTCTTGCTTTGTTGCCCAGGCTAGAGTGAGTGCC